CCCCAAAACCCCAAAACCCCAAAACCCCAAAACCCCAAAACCCCAATATCTATAAGCAAGATTGGTTCTAAATATACTAACATCAAAGGGTAATAGCAAACAAGATAGTAGATAAAGGAAACAGCAATTTATTTTTGGTCTAAATCTTATCAAAGAAGTTTATTCTTCAGCTGCATCAGTGTGCAAGTTAATAGCTTTCAACTCTTCGATTGTCTTTTCCTCTGAGGTGATATCGTAATACTTTTCAATAGCTCCTTCGTCCCATCTGTCTGAAATTCATTCCAATGGAGCTAAGGATACGTCGTGTCTGATGTGGGAAAAGAGGGTAGAGGATACTCTCCAAACTGGATGGTCTGGGTTCTCCTCTTGCTTCTTGAGAACTCTTTCCTTAGTAGCGTCGGTGTAGACAACTTCATGGAAGCCAGCCTTGATGAATCCTCCAGTCAGCCACTCAATTTGGATTCCACTTTGAATCAAAAGACAGCCATCTGGGACCTTTACAGACATTTTGGTTCCGTCTTTAAGCCAGATGAAGAGTCCTGGGTATCTAGATTTTCCGTGGATAGTTAAAAAGTTAAGATCATAGTGTACTCCAGCAAAAACAGTTCCTTTATCATTCTTAGTTAAATCACTTCCGGTTGGGGCGAGGAGGTGGGGACCAAGATTCATTCTGCTTGAGAAAGTATCTTGATCAATGCCGAGACCAACAGCGAGCATTTCAGCAGCAGCTGTGCATGCACCAATCATCATGTTACCCCACTTGTTCATCTTAGTCTCCCATTCTGGGAAGTCTCCTGGAACAATGTTCTCATAAAGAGCCTTCTTGTCTTCAGGTCTCTCTCCAATATGCCAGAAGTACCTCCATTTCGCATCATGCTCAGGGGGACATTCGGAAAGAGGTTTGTTTGGTCCTTCATAATCCTCGAATCTTTTACAGTGATTTCTTGCTTTCTCAACATTCTCAGGAGTTACTCCAACTTGGTAATGAATCTCTGGTCTAGCTTCTTTGAGCTCTTCATTGTTGTAGAACATTTCTCCTCTAGTTTCAAAGTAGTTTTCCAAAAGATCGATGTACTCTTCGTTATCTTTCTCATCAATTCTAGGATCCTTCATGATGAGAATTCCATAATCTTTAAGAGATTCAAGTACTTTCTGGCATTCAGCTTCCTTCTCCTCGGTGTTATCGAGGAAAGCGGCTACATCAATAACTGGGGCTTCACAGACTTCCATTTTAGATTCTTGAAATTATTAACTTTCAGCAAAATTTTCTTTATCCGGGGTTTTGGGGTTTTGGGGTTTTGGGGTTTTGGGGTTTTGGGG